AACTTCTTTCCCATCTTTAAACTTTCTATCAAGTAGATATACTTCCATATATTTAGAAATGTCTGTGTAAAATGCTCATCCACATCCGTGTGGGTAAAAGATCATAATTGTACAGTTTCATAAATGTCTGTGGTGAAGCAACGGAAAAATCATGGCCGTATGATTTTTCCTGATTGATTGCTTATGTTGTTATTTTCATAATTTGCCAAATTAATGTAAATGTTTGATGTTAAATTTTGATTCTGTAAATAAATGACCGCATTCATTTTGATGGGTCAAATATAAATGACGTCTCACGTTTGCATTTCCTTAAATTCAATGCACGTTTTATTCAGTCCAGAAAAATGAGGAATCCGTGTTAAATGATGAATATATCCGAGCATCTGTTCATCTACATTGTTGTTGTTGCTAATTTCATCTTTTTCCAGATCTTTCCACTTTTGTGCTCATTTCTGCTTCTTTCAGTTTCATTGCGGAAACATGTTCTTTCTGCTTTCTTCTAATTTAAGCTTGTTCTACCTTTTCAGCTACTTTTTCTTCTAGCATTTTTTAAGCTAATTTCAGCTGTTTTCAGATAAATTCAAGTTTTTTCATGGTACATTTTGCTACTTTCAACCGAATTAACCTTTTTATGATAATTTAAGCTTATTATGCTCCTTTCAGCTCTTTTTGGCTATTTTCAGCTATTTTACCTACTATTTAGCTGTTTTATGCTAATTGTAGCTTTTTCAGCTAATTCAACCTTTTTGGAGCTCATTTCACCCACTTTCCACTAGTTTAACCTTCCACCTTCTCAGTTAATTTTCAGCTTTTTTTGTTGCTAATTTCAGCTTTGTTTTAGCTCATTTCCCTCATTTTTGTTCTAATTTCTTCAAATTTAAACATAATTCAGCAAATATGTGTTTTTTCTGCTTTCTTCTACCAATTTGGGCTTGTTTTTCCAGTTTAGCTACAATTCTGCATGTTTTTTTTTTATGTTTAGCTAATTTCAGCTGTTTTTCAGCAATAAGCATTCACACTGCATTTTTGCAGTAAATGCAATGTCTGCAGTTTTAAAGTGTATTTGCAAATATTAAAATGTTAAACATGGTCTATAAGTTGTTACATCCTCTAAAACGTGTTTGCTGTGGTGTGCAGGTGGTTTGTGAGAAAGGTTTGGACGTTAAGGGGATGACTCTGTCGTCTCTGAAGAAGGAGGGATTTAAGGCCGTCTTCATTGGGATTGGTGGGTTAGATCTGTCCAGCGTGTCTTCCTGTGCCATAGATGGTGTATTCTCATTTGTGTGTGCTCATTTTTTCATTGTTTCTGTGTTTGTTTTTACTACAGGGCTCCCCCAGGCCAACAGGGCTCCGATTTTCCAGGATTTAACTGTGGATCAAGGCTTTTTCACTTCCAAAGACTTCCTGCCCGTGGTGGCTTCTGCCAGCAAGAAAGGTAAGGTGGGAGAAATTAAGTAATTTAGGTAAAGTAGGCGGTCCAATCAGCTGATTGTTATAATGTAAATATATTGTAAAGGGCTTGCTTAATGTGTTTAACTGTGTATCTAATCTTATCATTCATCATCCCAACCACTTTTTTAACACATAAATACTGTATATTACAAGCTTTTCTAAAGCACCTAATTTAATTTGACAGTGAGCAGAACCAGTTCTTTGCACCAAAAATTTATTTTAGAATAAAACATCCACCATCCCGACTACAAATCTCAACTTTAGTGCATTTAGAAAACAAGTGTAAATCCTAATTTAGTAAACTGTTTTGTCTCATCCAGACGCCACACACACAAGCATGTTTATATATTTACTTGTTGCTGGCATCATTGCACTTTTTATCATTTCCTGTTTGTAGTCGTCAGAGATAAAGTTCAACAGGAAGTGGATTTCTTTAAAAACAAATGTGACTAGTTTTACATAGATAAACTACAATGATTTTTCATAACTCCAATACTCAGTCATATGCACAGAAAGGAGGAGTTTTTTCATTGCACACATAAATTGTTTCTTTGCTGTCCACAATGAAATAGTATAAAATCAATGTATAAAATATGTAAGTAAAAAGATAAGTTATAGTTATGCAGCATTATTAATACAAACTGTGCAGAAATGTAGTTATGGAGATCAAAATAATGCTGCAATAAACTAAACACGTTTGTGCAAATGAGTGAGCTACAGTTTGTGCAGAAGACATCTGTGAGTGTGCAATTAGACGTGCAACTGCGTTGATCTGGCTCTGTGCAGGTATGTGTCAGTGTCGCTCTCCGCTGCCGGAGCTGAAGGGGGTGGTGATAGTTTTGGGGGCCGGGGACACTGCGTTCGACTGTGCCACCTCAGCTCTGCGCTGCGGGGCCAGGAGGGTGTACGTCTGCTTCAGGAAAGGCTTCACCAACATCAGGGCTGTTCCTGAGGAGGTACGATGAGACCGATCCAGTGTTAGATAAATGAATGGATACAAAGCATTTAGGGTTTGTTTTGGTCAGATGGAGCTGGCTAAAGAGGAGCAGTGTGAGTTCCTGCCCTTTCTGTCTCCTCGCGAGGTCATCATGAAGGATGGGCGGATCGCTGGGCTGCAGTTCTGCCGCACCGAGCAGACGGAGGAAGGCGACTGGCTGGAAGACGAGGATCAAATTGTTAGACTGAAGGCTGATTACATCATCAGTGCTTTTGGATCCATGTTGAATGACCCACAAGGTAAACAAACAGCAAAGTGTTTGTTGTTGTCCTACGATTGGATTATAATCTAAACTGAATTCTGTTATCAGAGCTTGCAATGATGCTGATTGATTGTAGGAAAAAACAAATAGAATGATGACTTTTAGTTTGTTTATAGTAAATAAATTGATCTTTATGTTTTGCAAATGTGTATATTTTTGTAGTGACTGAAGCCATGGCTCCCATCAAGCTGACCCGCTGGGGCACCCCTGAGGTGAACACAGAAACCATGCAGACCAGTGAGCCCTGGGTGTTTGCAGGAGGTGACATCGCTGGTTTGGCTAACACCACAGTGGAGTCCGTAAATGATGGCAAGCAGGCCTCGTGGCACATTCACAGATACATACAGGTACATTTGGACACATTTTAACACTCACTCATTAAAATTCAGGGTTCCTAAACCCCGAATCCTAAATTCTTCAACAGAAATGTTTTAGGTTTTTTTTTTGTATGATCCAAAATGTCTATTTTTACACTGTAAAAAAATGTTTGACAGTAGACATATTGGTTCCCTTTTTTATTTTTCTAGTCTCTGCATGGGCAAACAGTGGACAAGATCCCAAAGCTGCCTTTGTTCTATAGTGCCATAGATCAGGTGGACATCAGTGTCGAGGTTTGTGGTATTAAGTTTCCCAACCCATTTGGCCTGGCTTCTGCACCCCCCACCACCAGCACAGCCATGATCAGAAGAGCCTTTGAACAAGGCTGGGGCTTCGCTCTGACCAAAACTTTTGGACTGGATAAGGTATCGCACCATCAACGGTTCTTCCTGGCACTCACTAAAGTTAAAAAATAATCAGTGTTTGAACTCCAAACAGCCTCAGAGATGTAACCATTAAAGAAAATATGAGGAATCACTTGAACTCTAAATGTGTTTCTGTAGGACCTGGTGACCAACGTGTCTCCTCGTATTGTGCGAGGTACCACCTCAGGTCCTGTGTTCGGACCTGGTCAGGGCTCTTTCCTCAACATTGAGCTCATCAGTGAGAAGACGGCAGCTTACTGGTGTCAGTCGGTCACCGAGCTGAAGAAGGACTTTCCCAACAATGTAAACGCTGGGTCACATCAAGCCACCTATGTTTCTGATAGACATTACTAAAAAACTCACATTCAGAATGTTCCTTTATGATGTGTAGAAGATGGTAGAGGGTTTCTATAGTTTGTTTAAAACACACTTTGCATGATGACAGGCATTAAAAATGTTTCCTCTGTGCCAGGTGGTGATCTCCAGTATAATGTGCAGTTACAACAAAGAAGACTGGACAGAGCTGGCCAAGATGGCTGAGGTGAGACAAACCCCATCTCACAGGTTAAATCATTAACAGACTCACAATATGATTATTGGAGATGTGCGTGAAGTTAAAGGTGAAAACACGTGTGTTCAGGAGTCAGGAGCAGATGCATTGGAGCTGAACCTGTCCTGTCCTCATGGGATGGGAGAAAGAGGAATGGGGCTGGCCTGTGGACAGGTACACACAACACTAAAACTGATTTTAGATTTTGTGTTTTTTTTTTAAAGATTTCCACTATTTCCACTATTCTATCTTTTTTTAAACATAATAAAACCACATGTAGTTTGAATTGTAGTTGTGAGTGTTTTGTTGCGTCGCCAGGACCCAGTGTTGGTGCGTAACATATGTCGGTGGGTGCGTGCTGCCGTTTCCATCCCATTCTTTGCCAAGCTGACACCAAACGTTACCAACGTTGTCGACATCGCCAAAGCTGCGCATGAAGGTGTTGATTTGTCACAATCTCTCAGATGTCTAAAGACGTTAAGTCTGGACCAGACTTAACGTCTTTATCTTTTTCTACCTGGATTATTGAGCATGCTTCAGGAAATCTTTCAATTGCTCTTGAAAAATATTTTGAGACGTTTATTGTAAAATAATTACTATCTGACAGTAGTTTGTTCCTGTAAATGTTGTTACAGGTGGAGCATCTGGAGTCACAGCCACCAACACGGTGTCCGGTTTGATGGGTCTGAAGGCTGACGGCACTCCCTGGCCGAGTGTTGGTGGGAGCAAACGCACCACGTATGGAGGGGTGTCTGGTATGAAAACTGTCTGCACACATGGAAAACAGTACAGGATAATCCAACAACGTTCAGTCAGGCCCTCTGGACGGTTTCTTTTTTTATTGAGACGTTTCGTCCTTCATCCAAAGGACTTCTTCAGTCCAAGGAGCCACAAACTAACTGAGTCCCACAAGCAGCACACTCACATAGTGGACCAGCCAGTTTGCTGGTGATAAGATGGTATTTGGTGCCCGCCCTCTCCCCCACAGACTCTTCTGAGGCAGCCATCGCCAAAGGGGTTCAAAACATCAAAGTTCATACGCAATAATCCAGGTAACCAATCTGATGTTTTTAACCATTTTAACCATTGGCAGCACGACGGCTCAGTGGTTAGCACTGTTGCCTCACAGCAAGAAGGTCCTGGGTTCAATCCCCAGTTGGACCTGGGGTCTTTCTGTGTGGAGTTTGCATGTTCTTCTCGTGCTTGCTTGGGTTTTCTCCAACAGATCAAGAACATGCATGTTAGGCTGCCTTCAGGCCTTCCTTGCAAAAGAGATCTGTGATCTCAGGGGGATTTGCCTGGATAAATAAAGGTTAATAATAATAAAAAATAAATAAATAACCACTTTGGCTATGGCTGCATCAGAGGAGTCGACGAGGGAGAGGGCTGGCTCCAGAAACCCGTCTTATCACCAGCAAACAGGTTGGTCCACTATGTGAGAGTGCTACTTGTGGGACTGAGTTTGTTTGTGGCTCCTCTGACTGAAGAAGTCCTTTGGATGAAGGATGAAACATCTCAACAATAAAAGAAACCATCCAGATGACCTGACTGAGCTTTGTTGGATTTTTTTAACCAGGATTATTGAGCATGAACCTTGAGATACGGGATGATGTGATGCAGTTTGGTATGGTACAAAACAATACAATGCAGTGAAGTCCAAAGCAGAAAAATGGACTTTCTGAAGAGATGGAATGCACAATAGTGCAATAAAATAGTGTTTTACGAACTCTTAACAAGGTTTGAGAGAATTACTTAAAGCTCAGGAATGTGGTGAAGTAAAAGTAAATGTTGACTTAAGAGGCACTGAATTATCAGTAAGCTAAAATTATTCAATAAATCCCTGCAATGTTCAATGAATTCATTTTGTACTGTTAGTCCTTAAAGTAGATGCTAATGCCACTGAGTGCAGTAATAAAAAGATAAATGATGTGCAGGGAACGCCATCAGACCCATCGCTCTCAAAGCAGTGTCAGCCATCGCCAAAGCCATCCCTGGTTTTCCTGTTCTGGCCACCGGTGGCATCGACTCAGCAGAGAGCGGTCTGCAGTTTCTCCATGCAGGGGCCTCTGTGTTACAGGTTATAACAAAATCACTGTTATTCCTTGTGTTGTAAAGACCTGTTGAGAAACTGAGTCACACATTAACTTCACTTAATTACTGTTTATATATAAATACAGCAAACTTGTCATAATAATCCCATTTACTGTGTAACATTTAGGGTAATGTGTTAGTATTTATTACTCGATTTTGATTACTTTCTGTCTGACTACAACAGGTGTGTAGTGCAGTTCAAAACCAGGACTTCACACTGATTGAGGATTACTGTGTTGGTATGATACCGTCCTTCTTTATTTTGCACCACTATAACCGCTTCAGGCTGTACGTTGGTTAATATGAGTCTGTTTAGGTCTGAAGACCTTGTTGTACCTGAAGAGCCTGGAGCTGACAGACTGGGACGGTCAGTCCCCTCCAACTGAAAAACACCAGAGAGGAAAACCAGTTCCCAGACTGGGGGATCTGGTTGGGAAGGTACAACTTCTTAAATCGTATAAAGATTTATTTGGATGTTAAGAGATTGCTGTTGTTGCATTCTGTTGATAAAAGTAATTTATTGCATTTAATTTATTAAGTGCTGAATTTTGTACTTTAATAGACTTGGTTATATATAAAATATATATTTATTTTGTGCATGCATGTGTTTGTAGAGCCTTCCTAGTTTTGGTCCATACCTTCAACAGAGGACTGAAGCCATTGCAAAATACAAGAAACTTCTCAGAGAGGCTGGTGAAAGTGACGAGCCTGAAACAAACACTGACCGGGTCAACAAGCCCAAACGACCTGTGCCTGTTGTCAAGGTGTGGGACACGATCACACACACGACTCCAAAGATTGGTTAAACTTTGTTCTAAATCACATGTTTGCTGTTTTGGTAGGACGTGATAGCCAGAGCTCTGCGTCACATTGGAGCGTACCAGGAGCTGGACAACATGGAACAGGTACGGTTCTGTTTCCATTCTGCGAACAAGAGTCGTCTGAGTCAGCGTTCACGTGTATTAGGTTTTAAGTTTCTTACATATGATTTTAGACTGTACTTCAGGCTACTTTCAGCTTTTTAAACCAGTTCTCTATAAAAACATTCAGCTTGTTCAGGACAATACAGCTGACTTTTGTTTTTATTTAACTTTTATACTTTTTGAAATGTTAACCTGCACTGTATTCACATTCTTCTTGTTAAAATGCATTGCTATCTTTTTTAAATCTTTTAACAACTTGGGGTAGCTGTGGCTGAGTGGTTAGAGCAGTCGTTCTCCAATGAGAGAGTTGGGGGTTCGATTCCACCAACAGTCACATGTTGAAGTGTCCCTGGGAAAGACACTGAACCCCTCATTGTCTCTGATGTGTGTCCCATCAGTGTATGAATGTGATAAAGCTCTGATTAGTCTTTGTACAGAAATAGTAGAGTGCTGTATGAATGGGTAAATGAGGACACAGTCAAGAGCTTCGAGTATCTTGAGAAGATAGAAAGGTGATATATAAGTACAGACCATTTACTTTTTGAAATCTCCTTCAGCACACTCGCTCCATTTTTGTCTCTTTGGGCTGTCGGTATGGTATGATATGGTATGGTGTGGTGTGGTGTGGTATGGTATGGTATGGTATGGTATGGTATGGTATG